GACAGAGGAGCCTGGTGGGCTGCAGTCCATGGGGTTGCAAAGACTTGGTCATGACTTAGTGACTAAACAACAACAAAAAATATTAAAAAAAAAACCCACAAAAACCCCCAAAATGACTTCAACAAAAAGGAGATGTATTGGTCCAGGCATTGGGAAAGTCGAGGAACCGTCCTGGCCTTCATGACGCAAATGATGTGGCCAGGACTCAGCGCTTCCAGCCCCACTCACCACCAAGAGGAGGCTGGTTCCCTCACACTGTCACTCCTGTGCTCCTATTCTTCCCCGACAGGCCCTGAGTGCAGGGGCACCTCCAGACCTCATGGAACAGATTCCCCCGGCAGCCTCGGAAGGAGCCCACCCTGCCCACACCTCGATCTTGGGCTTCTGGCCGCCGGAACAGGGAGCGGACACACGTCTGTTCTTTCAGCTACACGGCCATCCCTTCGTGATGACACGTCCAGCACTCCAGCGCTCCCCAGCCACACAGTGCCCGCCCATCTCTGCTTATGCTGTTCCCTCCCCCCAGCGCATCCACCACCCGTGGATGTCCCGGAAATGTCCCAGTGGGGGGGTGGTGGGTGGTGGGGTGGGGTGGGGTGGCCTTTAAAAACATTCACAGAGCGTCCCATCCCCAGGGTTACTGATTCAGCAGGTCTGGGGAGGGGCCTGAGAACCTCCGGTGATGTTCAGGCCGGGGGTCTGAGGACCCTGCCCTGAACCGCCCTATTTTCAAGCCTCCCTCAGAGACTCTAGGTTCTCTTTTCCCCTGCTTTGTGTTATTTCTTTAAACTTCCCTCTTTCCCTCTCACCCGGCCATGTTTAAGCCCTGGGGGAGTTCTGTGTGCTCCCCCGCCTTTGGGAAACAGTGGACACATGATTGCCAGCTGGTGTCCAGACTTGGGAGGAAAAGGCAGAAAGCCACCTTGATGTTGTGTGTGCAAAGTCGTGCCCGACACTGTGCGACCCTGTGGACTATAGTCTGCCAGGCTCCTCTGTCCACGGGATCTCCCAGGCAAGAATACTGGAGTCGGTTGCCATTCCCTTCTCCAGGGGATCTTCCTGACCCTGACGTCCTGACGTCGAATCCATGTCTCTTGTGTCTCCTGCATTGGCAGGCGGGTTCTTTACCACCAAAGCACTGATGGTTGGTCACTAAAGGCTGCAGAAGTTCCCTTCCACCGACTCTTTTTTTCAACTTTGCTAAAATCGTTTGCGTTTGTGTACATCCCGATGAACAGTCCCCAAGAACCCAGCCTACTTGATGACCTGAGAGAATGACACTGCACACTCTTTCCCTGGAGACTTAAAGCAAGGAGTTACTGGTGTGGTAACTGCTGCTACTCGACAATTCGAGAGAAATGGAAACACCCCTTGGCAAGTGCCCATCATTAGAGCCCCACGGACGGGCCTGCTGCCTCCCACTGTACCAGTGGCTGTGTGTGGCCTCACAGGGAGAGGAAGTGGACTCGAGTCTCCTCTCAGCCCCCAAGGATGCTCTCTGTACACGCTGGGAAGTCCCTGTGTCCCTACGACTAAGAGACAAGAAAAGCCACGCCTATGCCAACGTGGGAGTGCCCTTACCCCGCCACGACTTCCAAGACTTCCAAGGAAGTAGGCGCTTGGTCAGCTGAATCACGGTCACGGCCTCCTGCCATGCACCCGTGCTGTAGTCTTCCCTGCCCCGTGGACGCTGGGCATTGGCTTTGGACAATGGGATGACCCAGGCCACTGCAAGCGTGCTTGCAAGGTTGGGCGTGAACTCTTGACCTTTTGTCACTGACAAAGGACAGGCTTCCCCTGAAAAGCTTCTGTCTCTTTAACCTGGAACCAAAGTGAATCCAGAAGGCACGGGATAGAGCCTGAATCCTACAGGGGGAAGGCAGGGAGGGGCCAGCCAGACTTGTAGTTTGAAGAAGCAGAGCCTCTCCAGATGAGCCCAGCCTAGATGGACAAACATGTGCATTATTTTGGTCCCTGAGAGTTTTGTGGGTGTTCCTTATGCAGCAATAGCTGGCTGATACAGATAGTGGAAACAATGGTGAGGAAGTTGGGGATGCAAAGTAGTGCCTTTCTAACAGAACTTGCAGGACCATGCGTGGCTTTTCCAAACACCTAATTCACTTTTGCCTCCCTCATCACAATTTGCAGGATAATAATGCCATCAAGTAGTTTTAAAAACTCTCCCATGAGCTGGGATCATAATCCACACTTTGGCAAGATTTCACAACTGAAGGGGAGTTGTGGGGAGGGTTCATTTATAATAAAATGGAATGACTTGGAGATTTTAGTTTTCACTTATCAAAGTTCGAGTGCCAAAGGCTCAGCTGTGCAATTTGGGTCTTAGCTATTTTCAGCACTTGACATCTAAATACCCAGTCAGTCAACAGTCATAATGGAGTTTTTATTACCTGCAGTGCTGCGTGTGGAGCTGTGGAAAGAAGGGAAGAAAAACACTCTTTGGGAATTTATAACTTGAGCCACAAAACAGATCAATTATTCATTGAAATGGTGAGAGAAATTTACCAACACACCCTTTAGTAACTTTATTTTCGTAAGTTACTATAATCATTTGTGTTTATTTCAAATAACTTACAAAATATATATAAAAAAAGAAAAAATAGATTGCAAGTAATCCTAACATTCAAATGACCATTCATAACATTTTGCTGAATAAGCTTTCAGGCACGTTTTTCAAGGTGCATGCATTTTCATACACACTTTTCTTTTTCAAACAAACATAATATCATACTGCTATTTTTCATGGCCATATTTCCATTTCAATGATTATTGAACTACAGTATAATTTTATGCCTGTGAAAGGTCTTCCTTTGCATGCTTATGCCATGATTTGTTTCATCAGTTTTCTATCAATAGTCATTGAGGTTATTCTCTGATTTTCTCCAATATAAAGAGTAATGCAGTTAATATGACCATACATTCATTTATGTCCGATGGTCCCTTTATGACCTCAAGACAAGTTCCTATGTGTGGAACTTTTAGGTCAAATGTACGCTTTTTGGATAAAGCATTCTGATGGGCTCAGGTAAATTGACTTCCAAAGTTTCCATTTTAAATGTCTTCTCTAAAAGTTGAATGATTTTGATCAGATGATCATGTCACCATTGAAACATGTACTGTATCTGAGTCTTGATGTTAAAGGCTATTCAAGTTTGTAAGTTGGTTTTAAAAGCTTGATGCCCTGTGGCTCAATCAAAAACTCTGAATTTTGGTCCTTTCAACTCAGTGTTCCTCAGAGGGGCTCAGCTACACACATGCAGTGGAAATACACACAAACAAGAAACCGAGACACAAACCGCCACTGCGTCTCTCCCGGGACTCAGCTCCGACGTGCTGCGTCTGCGTGTACCTTACTCATCACCCCACCCGCCGCCCCCAGCTCACCATCTCCACGACAGTGACTGCTTCCGACAAACCCGTGCCCGTCTCCAATCACCAGACACCCCCCAACGGCGGGGAAACCCCATGCCTGGACCTGGTAGCTGCTGTTCACAGGCGGGACCAGCACGTCTGCTCTCACAGGCCTCACTGCTTCCCGCTGGGTACCACCGGTTGCTTCACTCACTTCCCCTGCTTCTATGCCCCTATTGGGGGAAGAGGAAATGGCAGCCCACTCCAGGACTCTTGCCTGGAGAACCCCATGGACAGAGGAACCTGGCAGGCTGCAGTCCATGGGGTTGCAAAGAGGTGGACACAACTGAAGCGACTTAGCACACATAATCCTTACATGCAACTCAAAAACTCAAAAGTTCTGCAAACTGGACATTTTTAGGATTCTTTTAGCTGCAAAACCTGACCTGATTTGATGAGAGGCTATTTATAATCATTATTTTCCCCACTTACTCTAAATATTCATATACTTTCCTGCAAAAATATTAATGGGTTTGATTACAGACTGCTGCCCCAGGTCCTCCTGGGTTTTTAATGTGATAGGAAGCCTACGGGGTGCATTCTCCGGGAAGCTGCGAAGTTCTGAGTCAAAAAGCACATTCTGCCCCAGTGGCGCTGGATGAGGTGCACTGGCCTCTCATGGCAATGGGCCGCCACGCAGCTGTAGTTCAGTTTATAAGCACAGTGCTTGACTCTGGCTGGGGGAGGAGGTGAGGGGCCTGAGGACTCAGTGGGCAGCACTTAGTGGGCATCGGGACACGAAGCGGAGACGCTCGGGCCAGCTTGGGGAGAGAGGAGGGAGTTCCACTGAGAGCAAATCTCTGGTTTTTCCCAGAAGGGACTCCTCCTGAGGTCCCTTCTGCTACCAGTCGCTCTCATTCACCTTGAAGCAAAACGTTCCTAGTCTGTTGGTTTTCCGTCCCTCCCTCCTCTCATCCTCCTCTTTTTCCACGGATGCTCCCTGTCCCAGATGACACGTGGTCTCACGCTGGGGAGATGCGCTGTGCACACTTCAGACCTGGTCCTAGGGAGGGCACCCAGAAGGACGGAGGGCTCCCTGGCCCTTGTGTCGGGGGTCGCCGGCTCAGGGGTGGACACTGGGCTGTGCTGATCGGGGTGGGGGGTGCACGTCCAGTTGTTAGGCCCTGTTGACCAAAACTGCCCGCCTCGGGCAGGCGTGATGAGAAGCACTTGCATGAGTTGTCGCACGACAGGAGGTCCTGATAAGGAATGTTGTGTTGCTGCCGAAAACTAACGGGGAGAATTTGGGAGGGGCCCAAGAGAGGCATGAGATGCCAGCCTACAACATGTCTCGTAAAAGTAACTGGGAGAATCTGGGAGGGGCCAAACGGCGGGACGAGACCTTGACCTCCCAGAATCCTTCACTCTGGAACCCATCTTGGCTGAGTGGTGGTCACACCACCAGTAAGGGCCCTGAGTCAGACCAACTGTGGGCCAAGCAGGAAGACTGGCCAGAGAGAACCCGGGCAGGAACCTCACATACCCTGCTTGCTCCCGCTCAGGCGACCCTGCCCAATAAAGGCCTTGCTTCGTCAGCGCGTGCGTCTTCGAGGGCAATTCACTGTCAAGAGTTAGACAAGAGCCCACTCTGGCGGGCCCTGGAAGCGCCCTTCTTTCCGGCGCCTCTCGGTCTGAGCTTGAGCTGCAAGGGAGGCTGGGAGGGCAAGTGTCTGGCTGTCGGTCTCGGGAGCTGTCCCCATGCCCCCCCACCAAGCAGGCTTGTCTCCTTGAACGGAAAACAGAACACAAGAAGAAAACCAATGAGATCATGGAAATTTCTAAATGATCTACCATTTGGTTTTAGTTTTTTACCTTCTCTCGGATGCCAATCTTTGCTCCCCCGCCCCGATCCTCTCTTCTCACTTGAGATCAAATTAAGCTTTCAAAAGCTAGTCATTTTTAATGGGGTGATTGAGTGACTTCATTGACTTGAAAGAACTTTCTGCCAACTGCCTTTAATTGCTTTTTTTCCTTTTAAATCAAAGGTGCTTATACTCAGTTCTGGATCTGCTCCAAATTAAGTGATTATATGTTTTTGCCTCCACACTCTGTCTAATTTCTTCAAAGTAAATGGACTATTCACATCCCTGCCGAAAAGTAATGACCCATTCGCAGAGGGAGCGCCTGCGATGGTGGGTGATTGCTTTCCTGGGGAGAGGTGAATTTTCCCCAGCAGGCGACTCCCTCAGAATTCGTATAAAAAAAGCCAAACAAAAAAGGGAAAGGTAGAAAACAGATAAAGGAAACGGTCTGTCTCCAGGATGACAAATCAAGGAGAACTGTGACTGTGAGCGAGCTGCTCTTCCGGGCTTTGGATCGGATTCACCGAGGCATGGGGGGAGGCTGAGCGCCTTCTGTGCGGAAGCTTTAGGACAGGCCTCTGAGGCTGAGGGGCAAAGGGCAACAGAGGGGGCAGGCCCCGCCCAAAGACACAGGCGCGGCCACGAGAGAAGGCGCGGCTGGCCTATGTCTGGGGTCTCGAGAGGACATGAGGTCTCTGGACCCACACCAGTTTTCCCATGTTCTGTAGGAACAGCTTCTCATGGCTACAAACCGTTTGGAAATCCAGTTTCTGGGGCACCCCGAGAAGCAAAGACGCAAGTTGCAATCATGAAATGGAATCTAGTTAGAATAAATTGCCCAGGCATGAAGGTGAATTAGCTACAGAGACGCTGACAGGCGGGGAAGGCTGGATTTGGTGATTGCCATCTGCTCAATTATCAGCGCGATAATTATCTGAAATGACCTTTCAGCCCATCTCTGGGTTAGTACAGAAGAGTGAATGTATTACCCAATCCATGAACTGTGTGTGTGTGTGTGTTTAATGTTTGTGTCTTTGTTCAGTTTGAATGAAAGAAATTCAGAACAAATTGAGGTGAGCGTGCTTAGGAAACAAACTCCAATGGCTTTCCCTGGATGTGAGGGCTGTGATAAGTGGGGTGCAGGAGAAAAGAACCTGGGAAGGCAATGCGGAAGGAGTGAGGAGGGAAAGAAGGAAGGGGGGAGGGAAAGGAGGAGGGTGGAAGGGAAGAAAGATAAAGAGAAAAAGAGAGAAAGAAGGAAGTGGCGGGCACGTCCCTTTCTGCTCCATTTCAGTCCATCTCTACGCAAGATCTTGGTGCCCTCTGCAAACATCACCCCCGGACGGCCTGGGTATTTTCTCTCTGCCTGGCTGTAGACTTCACCTGAGGACCAATCTTGAATGTGAGCGTGTTGCTGGCTTTCTTTCCCTCCAATGTTTTCAAGCCCCTCCTTCAGAGTCCGCGTCTCCAGCTGTGACCCCAGCCCCTGCCCTGGGTCCCCACCCGTCCGCTGGGCATTTCTCCTCAGGGACCCTGGCTTGACCTCAAAATCAACAGGCCCCGATAATGGCAAACGGCCCCCGCCAGCCCACTTCCTGCCCACGTGTCTCCATCAATGGAATCACTGTCCACAGAGCCTGGAGACCCTCCTTTTCCTGCCTGCTGACTTCTGAATCCAATCACGCAGGAAGGTAATGTTTGCCTTCAAAATCTGTCATGAGTTCTTCCTTCTCTTAAAAAAAAACCCCACCTTTTAATGGCAATCTAACACATTTATGCAGTGAAATGTACTAACATCAAGCATACACCGTATGTGTGTGTGTGTGTCTGTGTGTGCATGTAACCATCACCCTATCAGAAAGCTCAGAACACTTCCACATTCCTAGAACCCTAACCCTGGGGCCTTCACCTAGTCCATCTCTGACCCGCAGAGTGACCGCCGACGTGCAGTCTGTCGTCAGAGATGGGTTTTATCTGTCTCACGTTTTTCATGCCTGGGACCACACACTGAGTCCTTGCTTGTGTCTGGTGGCGTTCAGTCAGGGAAGTTCTGTAAGTTATATCCAAGCTATTATTTTTCACAATCTTTTTTTTTAATATTAAAAATTGAAATATAGTTAAATTACAATGTTAATTTTTGTTGTATAGCAAAGTGATTTGTTATACATATATATGTGTGTGTATATATACACACACACACACACACATTTCTATATTCTTTTCCATTACGGTTTAGGGCATCAACGTGCAGGGACATTGAATATAGTTCCCTGTGCTGGACAGCTGGACCTTGCCGTCCATTCATTCTGGATGTGATAGTTTGCGTCTACTAACCCAGACTCCCAGCCTGTCCCGCCCTCCTCCTCGGCCACAAGTCTGAGTCACGTTATTGTTATTGCTATTTAGCATTCCGCTGTATAATGTGCCAAGCATTACTTGTCCATTCTGGCCTTGATGGGGTGTTTTCAGTTTGGGGCAATTGCTGAGCTGCTCTGCGCAGCCCAGCAGACATTTCTGATGAACAGCTGCTAAGCAGGCAAATATCTCACAGGCAGTTTTCATGGTGTGCGTGCTCAGCTGTCTGACTCTTTTGTGACTGCATGGACTGTAGCCTGCCAGGCTCCTCTGGCCATGGAATTTCCCAGGCCAGAACACTGGAGGCGGTTTGCCAGTTCCTCCTCCACGGGAATCTTCCCAACCCAGGGATCGAACCCTCGTCTCCTGGACTGGCAGACGTCGTCCTTCCCACTGAGCCGCCTGGGAGGACAGACAGCTTCAGCAGACACGAAGCGATTAGCCACGGTGGCTTTACCCGCTACACACCCACCAGCAGCGTACCAAGCTTCCAGGTATTGCCCATGCTTGCCAACGTGTGCATGGCATCGCCAGTCTTTCTTTTCCTTTTTTCCTTTAAAAAAAAATCTTAGCCATTCTGCTGGATCTGTAATGGTATCTCATTGTGACTGTAATTTGCTTTTCCCTGCTGAAAATGCTTTTGTCTGCTGATGGAGTAGTTGACATTTTCTTTTGTGAACTGTTCGAATCTGTGGCCCATCTTCTAATCGGATTGCTTATCTTTCTCTTCTTAACTTATATTTACACATGGCTCCTTTGTCAGACATATGCAAGGAGACTATCTCATCCATGTCTGTGTATTGTCTGTTCCCACCCTTAATGGTGCTTCTGATAAAGAGAAGGGTTTAGTTTTAATGAAGTCTAATGTCAGAATTTTCTTTCATGGTAAACCCCTTCGGGGTTGTCTTTAAGAAATCTTTGCATACTCCAGAGTCCTGATGACAGTGTGCTGTGTTTTCTTTTTTGTTTTTCCAGTCCTGAGTAGATCTATGACCTATGACCTACCTCAAGTAAAATACTTTTGGAGTATGATGTTGAGGCAGTTGTCAGAATTTCCCGCTGAACTGCAGCGGTGTCCTTGTCAGGGACGAGGTGACCACCTAGGTGTGGGTCTGAGACTGGACCCTCTGCTCATCCACAGTGGTCTGCTTCTCTCTCCCCGAGTCGGTAGTACACTATAAACTCACGGCTACAGCTTTAGGGTACGTCTGTGTTCAGATCTCAGTTGACCCAGACGACCTCATTTTTCACAAAGTTTCTGTGAAATGAGCTCTCTAGTTTAGCAAGGCCAACGTCTCTTTGTTTCTTTGCCTTGTGATTTTTGCTTTCAGAAGTCAAAACAAAGGACTTCCCTGGTGGTCCAGTGGTTAAGAAACTGCCTGCCGATGCAGGGGAATTGGGTTCGATCCCTGGTCTGAGAAGATCCCTCGGGCCACGGAGCAACTAAACCCGGGTGCCACACCTCCGAGCCGGGGCTCCAGTGCCCGGGAGCCACAGCTACCCAGCCCACGTCTGCAGCTACCGCAGCCCACGCACCCGAGAGTCCCTGTTCCGCAACAAGGGAAGCCACTGCAATGAGAAGCCCACACACTGCAACCAGAGGGCAGCCCCGCCTGCCACAGCTAGAGGAAGGCCACACAGCAACGAACACCCAGCGCGGCGAAAAATAGATAAATAAATACATAATCGAATAAAGCAGGAAATCCCACGAACACCCACAAGTGAAACGAGCAAGCCTTGACCTCTGCGTCTGGGGCTGGGGCAAGGGAGCAAGGCTGAAGCCCACCCACACAGTCCCCCCTCCCTGCTCGTCTCCATTCATTCACTCAGTCATGTGTTTATTCCTTGTCTATCTGTTGAGCATCTGCCATGTGCCAGGCCCCGTGCAATGTGCCGGGGAAACAGCGGTGAGCAAACAAGCAGACGTGGAGCCCTTAGAGCTTCCAGTCCAGAGGAAGAGACAGGTAAGAACGCAAACCACGAGTGAGGTGTGTAACTATATTGTAAACAAGGGAACAGAACTTGGTGAAACACACCAACAAAAGGAAAATGCCTTATATAGGTGCTCAGGGCCTATCTGTCAAGCCAAGACCTGCAGGATGAGACCCGTTCTGTAAAGAATAGACGGTCCTGAGCAGGAGAAAAAGCAGGTTCAAAGGTCCTGATGCCGCAGTTCACTGCTGCCCGTGTTCTAAAAACTGAAGACAAGTAAATATGGTTGCAGTGAAATTAAAAAAAAAAAATTATCGATCCCCTCTTCAGTTACATTGTCTTCTACTATATAATCAATTCCTTTTTTTTCCTTAAGATTTTTTTGATGTGGACCATTTTTAAAGTCTTTATTGAATTCGTTACAGTATTGCTGTGTCTTATGTTTTGGTTTTCTGGCCGAAAGGCATGTGGGGTCTTAGTTCTCCCTGCAGTGACATTTCTTGCATGTGGGGTCTTAGCTCTTCCTGCAGGGACGTTTCTTAAGTGATGGATTCATCTGGAACTGGTTTCTCCTGTGGTTGTTAAGTCCCCTGAGCATCAGGGTTGGGTCTGGTAAATTTTTGGAATTTCTTGGGAT